TGACTGTAGTTGCCAGCTCGTCGAACTTGTTAGCTAGGGAAGTGACGTTGGATAGCAGTAAAGACGGGAGATCATACCATATCCGTGGAACTTCAGTGTGGTGGTACGGTCTGTCAGGGGTGGGTTTCTCCGGTTTCCTAGTGGAGGTTACGGTCCTAATGGGCTTATGTGTATGACGGCCCTGTCTACGGCTACGCGCGTGGTTGTTGTAGTGGATGTTTGTTGTGGTGGAGGGTTGTTGTAGTGGAGGGTTGTAGTGAAGGGTTGTTGTAGTGGAGGGTTGCTGTTCTGGGGGTTGTTGTAGTGGAGGGTTGTTGTGGTGGAGGGTTGTTGTAGTGGAGGGTTGTAGTGAAGGGTTGTTGTAGTGGAGGGTTGCTGTTCTGGGGGTTGTTGTAGTGGATGTTTGTTGTGGTGGAGGGTTGTTGTAGTGGAGGGTTGTAGTGAAGGGTTGTTGTAGTGGAGGGTTGGTGTTCTGGGGGTTGTTGTAGTGGAGGGTTGTTGTGGTGGAGGGTTGTTGTAGTGGAAGGTTGCTGTTCTGGGGGTTGTTGTAGTGGAGTGTTGTTTTAGTGAAGGGTTGTTGTAGTGGAGTGTTGTTTTAGTGAAGGGTTGTTGTAGTTGTTGTAGCAGACGGTTGTTGTAGTGGAGGGTCGTTGTAGTGAGGGGTTAATGTAGTGGACGGTTTTTGTGGTGGTATGTTGTTGTAGTAGAGGATTGTTGTAGTGGAGTGTTGTTGTAGTGGAGGAATGTTGTAGCCCGGATATACACACACTTTTTCCATGTAAACATACACTGTGCACTATTTTGTGAGTCACAGAAATAACACGAATCTGACTAAAAGTAAGAGATTGGTTATATGGCAATCACCTCCCCAGACTTTATCTCCACTATCTTACAGAATATTGAGCACCTATCCTCATTAATGAATAATGTTATCAGGAGAGTTTGGACTAGCATATTACACTCCATGCGACCACGTTACTGAAAGTACCAGGTAGGTTTGGTTAGGTTAGGTTAGGTTAGGTTAGGTTATAACAAGAATTCGTTTCCATAGGAGGATGGAGCACTCCAATGGGCGAATGCTTTCACCCCAGAACTTTGCACCACCAAGTGGTCGTTGTGTATAAAACACATTAAGCTCATTGCGCCTTACATGATACCAAGAACATCAGACCATAAGACTGGAGGAAACTGCAGGGGCCCTATTGGTCCAAACTAGACAGTCCCGCTGACACTCAACCCCTATCCCTCATATATCTATCCAACTTATATTTGAAGCTATCCAGTGTATTTCACTTAGTGATGATGTTTGGTAACTTGTTCCACACATCCACTACTCTATTTCCAAACCAGTGTTTACCTATCTCGCGGCAAATTCTAAATTTCTCTAATTTATAAACATTATTCGAGTTCGTTCCTGATTGGATAATTTGAGTACCTTTGTTATATCACCTTTGTTTAACGATGACTTACATTTATACACCTCGATCATATCGCCTCCCACTCTACGTCTCTCAAGGGAGTGCAAATTCAGATGCTTTAATCTGTCTCTATACTCAAGATTCCTAATGCTCGAGATAAATCTTGTCACCCTCTTCTGTATGCTTTCTAGGGATTTGATATCGATTCTGTAGTACGGTAACCAAAACTGAACTGCATAATCCAAGTGAGGTCTCACAAGTGCAAGATATAGTTTAGGATAACCTCGCTAGTCATGTAGCTAACACTCCTTTGTATGAACCCAAGTACTTTGTTAACCTTGTTTCGAGCAAATACGCATTGTTGTTGTCGTTAAAGATTCCTACTTATCATTATCCCTAAATCTTTCTCATCGTTGGATTTCTCTATAACAACGTTGGTCATCTGATATCTAGTTTCTCTGTTTACATCTCCTAGGCTAAGTATTTTACACCCTATTTTATTGTCGTCAGCAAATTTACTTACGTTGCTGTCTATGCTTATATCTATATCGTTTATGTATATTATAAATAATAATGGTCCAAGTTCTGAGCTTTGGGGTACTCCACTAGTGACGTCCCCTCAATCGGATGCAGTGCCGTTAGTGCTTAGTCACTGTTTCCTGTCCTGTAACCATGCCTTAATCCATTTTAGAATATCTCCTCCAATGCCAGGAGCCTCCACTTTTCGTATTAGTCTTTCGTGGGGGGACTCTGTCGAAGGCTTTGCTAAAGTCGAGGTATACCACATCATATAATTATTATTTATCCATTTGGGGTCATTGTTATTTGATCTGAGTTTTTCGTATAGTATATTAGGCCTTTGTGCATTAAATCATTATTTTAATTGTTATGAAATTCGTCAACCTCAGATCTCGTGGTCCGGTCACCCAAGGCTCTGTTTTACATGGACAGTACCTGATATTTCTCGGTGGCACACTACCTTAAAGCATGGAATGTAATGCGTTGGACCTTTAGGTGACGATGATCCAACAGTAACGTCAGAGGAACGTTTATTGTGTCTGTCTATGGTTGTTCAAGGGCAAGAGATGAAATTAATATGAATGGATGCCCCAAACCTTTCCTCACCAGAAGACTAATTAAAGGGAGTAAAAAATGTTGGGAATGACCTATGGGGTGTATAGGTTGCTCATACCTCACTCTGGTAAAGAACCAACTCATCACCTGTGGAGAATTCCCGTGTTTAGCGACGATCCACTTCCAACCTCCTCATTTGAGTCTACAAAATGGGAAATTTATACTCATCCCATTCCATCTTATAATTCACATTTCTCATCCTTTCTCCCTGTCCTATATATGACTTTTATTATTCTCTCTCCCTCTCCCACAGGTTATCGTGGTCATTGTGTTTCCTCCAGTACCATCATCTATGACGAGAAAGAGATGTCTTCTCCTTACCCTGTCTGCTGTAATTATGTTGGGGACTATAATCAGATTTGCTTATATGCCCAGAAGCCATTCATTGGCCGTTGTCAAAAGTAAGCCAACATCTGCTAAAAATTAAAGCTCACCTGAAGATTCGCCCCCTCCTAGCTTATTTTATCTGGATATTAAACATCCTAACCTAACCTAACCTAACCTAACCTAACCTAACCTAACCCCCAAGTAGAATTAGTGGTTAATATTTGAGTGGAATGAAATATTCTGTGTACAGTACCTGGAAAACGTGTCATTATGCTTGGATGTGTAATGGCATATTTGTGAAGTCTTAGATTGTTCGATATAATATTGTTTACAATTTGGTGTCGAGACTACAGTGAGTGTCTAGGGAAATGAAACTAACATTGGTAAAGCTTTATCTTAACAGGTAATTGAAAAGAGTATATGAATTTGTATGTGTGTGTGTGTGTGTGTGTGTGTGTGTGTGTGACTCATATCATTGTATCATAGCTGGATGATCGTCATACACGATTCCGAGAGTGACAGTAAAGTCGTAGTAGTAGTAGTAGTGTGTGTGTGTGTGTGTGTGTGTGTGTGTGTGTGTGTGTGTGTGTGTGTGTGTGTGTGTTTTATCATTTACTTATATATAATTCAGATAAACATAACTGTATTCCCCTTACCTGTGTGAGGCTTTAATATCAAGTCATTATTAATTATTTTTTTCAAGATTGTGATGGACTCGGGCAAGTACATAAGACATCATATCTTCTGAAAGGATAGATTAATGGCCCAGAGACCTGTCAACAACCTTTTTTTTTAGTTCACCGTAGACGAGAAGAGATGAACATAAATATACAGTTGTGTTGTGCATTTGTCTAATATTGAACTAACTGTTGGTTGTAGATTAATGGAAAGATGTAAAAAGTAAAGAAATTCTTTAGTCGAGGTGTACGAGGAGTGATGGTGAGGTCTTTTTCTATATGGAAATAGCACAGAGTAAGGGTGACATAACCTGTGTTGTGATTCTTGTTGGAAAGGTGGAAGATAATGTATTAAGTTTGCCAAGAAATAGTTGTAGAAAAGCGAAAATGCCGTGACGTGGTGTGGAGAACATGAGGGATTGGTTTAGAGCTGATGAGCGCCCACCACCTCACACAAGGGAGCAATTGTCCGTTTGGGGGCAGACATGGCTTGTCACTCATGTTGCTTACTAATATTATCAAAGGAATGTGTACTATACAAGCGAATGGTTAATACGTCATTAATATTTAGTAAACAACGAATAAGAGTAAGAACCGAACATTGAAGTACTCCAGCATTAATAAACCAAAATATAAATCGTTCAAACTCCTTTATGGATCGGGTAACGGGAAGAAATCTGGGAAAGTGAACAGTTTGGGTGACCAAACTAAATAAATCTGGAGAGGAGTAAAGATTGAAGTAAGTCTGCGATGTGAGCGACTTGAGAGGTAATAGGTGTTAGAGAAGAATTGGTTTACTTCAGGTGTTTGAATAGTTAGTATTCCTTGCTAAAATCCATAACTTTTGTCGATAAACAAGAGATATGGGATGATAGTTGGAAGAAAAGGGTGAATAGGTGAAAAATTTGTTAATTCCCAAGTTAAATGGACAGTATCAGAGGCGAAACTGAGGTGAAAATTTCTTATAAAAGACGTGAACAACTTGTGAACATTGACGGGACGGTAAAGATGATTGACATGTGAAATATTGGCAACATTAGTAAATGGATCTGTGATTATGTCCCAGGAGGTAAATTAAGAGAACAATTTCCTTAATAAACATCTCAATAAACATAGAGTGCGTGGCTGGGCTGGCAGGAAGGAGGGAACACTGATAGAACAAAAATGTATCAGAAAAACCTATAGAGAAGGGCTGGATAAGTTGTCTGTCTGTTTATCTGTCTGTTTATCTGTCTGTCTGTCTGTCTGTCTGTCTGTCTGTCATATCACAGTGAACACAGGTTCTACTAACTTTTCTCAAGATGAAAACAATGAAATACTTTACGGTCTATATTGTCATCTGGTCAAATGAGGTGAAAAATTACTTTCACTGAGCCACTCATTACAGAATCCTAGGTGATCTTATGAGGGAGAGAGGATATCTACATCGGTTTATCCCTCACAGGAAACGAAAGTAAGTGGCAGAGCGTTGTGTGTCCACTCTCTTCTAATACGCTGCCGCTATATCAAACTGACGCTCTCTTCCTGCAGCAGCTGTTCAGGTAAGGTGTGACGTGTGTGTGTGTGCTACTGCAGCTATTGATGTAAGTGTGTGTCCTGCTGCAGCTATTGATGTAAGTGTGTACTGCTGCAGCTATTGATGTAAGTGTGTGTGCTGATGTAGCTATTGATGTAAGTGTGTGCTGCTGCAGCTTTTGATGAAAGTGTGTGCAGCTGCAGCTATTGATGTAAGTGTGTACTGCTACAAATCTAATAATAATAAATAATAATAATAGTTAACGGTTTATTGAAAAAGTTCTGCAACCTGAAGGCTGAAAATATACAGAAGACATAAATGACTTATTAAATACATTGGTGGTTTAACAAAAGCCTTCATTAGAGAAAGGTGAAGGAACATACAGTGAACATTCAGATTAATGTAGGTGTTGAACAGCAAACACGTAGTGTAGTAACTCTCTCCCAGATGGTGTTAGGAGGGACCGCATGTGGTGTAGTAGTTCCCTCAGATGGTGTTATGAGGGACCTGACGTGGTGTAGTAATTCCTTCACAGATGGTGTTATCAGGGACCACGTGGTGTAGTAATTCCCTCACAGATGGTGGTATGAGGGACCTCACGTGGTGTAGTAATTACCTCACAGATGATGTTATGAGGGGCCTCATGTGGTGTAGTAATTCCCTCGCAGATGGTGTTATGAGGGGCCTCACGTGGTGTAGTAATTCCCTCACAGATGGTGTTATGAGGGGCCTCACGTGGTGTAGTAATTCCCTCACAGATGGTGTTATGAGGGGCATTACGTGGTGTACGAATTCCCTCACAGATGATGTTATGAGGGACTTGACGTGGTGTAGTAATTCCCTCACAGATGGTGTTATGAGGGACCTCACGTGGTGTAGTAATTCCCTCACAGATGGTGTTATGAAGGGCCTGACGTGGTGTAGTAATTCCCTCAAAGATGGTGTTATGAGGGACTTGACGTGGTGAAGTAATTCCCTCACATATGGTGTTATGAGGGACCTAGCGTGGTGTAGTAATTCCCTCACAGATGATGTAATATGAGTGAGGTGTGGTCCCAGGCCTTCCTATCGTAGATGGATTAGCACATCTCTGGTTATTGTTGGGTCTCACGGGCCGTTATCACTGAGTACCTGGGACCTCACTGTGTGAAGGTTAACTTGGGTACGACTGTCACTGTTGAGTTGTTCTCACTGACTTAAACTCTGTTCACCACTGTTCACCTCTGTTTAAAACTGGTTCCATTCCTTTCCTAAATGAAGTTGTAACTTCTGGCGAGAACTTGTTGATATTCCGGTGGGGAGGAGGGTTCAGGGAGGGAGTTAGTATGGGCCAACATAACAGTTGACCTGGCTGCTCCGACAGGAGCGCCAGGTACGTCTTGACCCTTCGGTGGTCAAGGATGTAAGTGTGTGTGCTACTGTTATTGATGTAAGTGTCTGTGCTACTGCAGCTCTTGATATGAGTGTGTGTGCTGCTGCAGCTACTGATGTAAGTATGTACTGCTGTAGATCTTGATATAAGTGTGTGCTGTTGCAGCTCTTGCTGTAGGTGTGTGCTGCTGCAGCTTTTGATGTAAGTATGTACTGCTGTAGATCTTGATATAAGTGTGTGCTGCTGCAGTTCTTGATATAAGTGTGTGCTGCTACAGCTATTGATATAAGTGTGTGCTGCTACAGCTATTGATATAAGTGTGTACTGCTGCAGCTCTTGATATAAGTGGGTGTGCTGCTGCAGCTATTGATGTAAGTGTGTGTGTGCTGCTGCAGCTCTTGATGTAAATGTGTGCTGCTACAGCTATTGATGTAAGTGTGTGTGCTGCTGCAGCTATTGATGTAAGTGTGTGTGCTGCTGCAGCTATTGATATAAGTGTTTGTGCTGCTGCAGCTATTGATGTAAGTGTGTACTGCTGCAGCTAGTGATATAAGAGTGTGTGCTGCTACAGCGATTGATGTAAGTGTGTACTGCTGCAGCTCCTGATATAAGTGTGTGTACTACTGCAGCTATTGATGTAAGTGTGTGTGCTGCTGCAGCTATTGATGTAAGGGTGTGTGCTGCAGCAGCTATTGATGAAAGTGTGTACTACTGCAGCTATTGATGTAAGTGTGTACTCCTGCAGCTATTGATGTAAGTGTGTACTGCTGTAGATCTTGATATAAAGGTGTTTGGTGCTAGAGCTATTGATGTAAGTGTGTACTGCTGCAGCTATTGATGTAAGTGTGTACTCGTGCAGATCTTGATATAAGTGTGTGTGCTGCTCCAGCTATGGATGTAAGTGTGTACTGCTGCAGCTCTTGATATAAGTGTGTGTGCTGCTGCAGCTATGGATGTAAGTGTGTACTGCTGCAGCTCTTGATATAAGTGTGTGTGCTGCTGCAGCTATGGATGTAAGTGTGTACTGCTGCAGCTCTTGATATAAGCGTGTGTGCTGATGCAGATCTTGATATATGTGTGTGCTGCTGCAGCTCTTGATATATGTGTGTGCTGCAGCTATTGATGTAAGTGTGTGCTGCTGCAGCTATTGATGTAAGTGTGTGTGTTGCTGTGGCTATTGATGTAAGTGTGTGTGGTGCTGCAGCTTTTGATGTAAGTGTGTACTACTGCAGCTATTGATGTAAGTGTGTACTGCTGCAGATCTTGATATAAGTGTGCGTGTTGCTGCAGCTCTTGATATAAGTGTGTGTGTGCTGCTGCACCTATTGATGTAGGTGTGTGTTGCTGCAGCTCTTGATATAAGTGTGTGTGTGGTGCTGCAGCTATTGATGTAAGTGTGTGTGCTGCTGCAGCTATTGATGTAAATGTGTGTGGTGCTGCAGCTATTGATGTAAGTATATACTGCTACGCTATTAATGTAAGTGTGTACTGCTGCAGCTCTTGATATAAGTGTGTGTGTGGTGCTGCTGCTATTGATGCAAGTGTGTGTGCTGCTGCAGCTATTGATGTAAATGTGTGTGCTGGTGCAGCTACTGATGTAAGTATGTACTGCTGTAGATCCTGATATAAGTGTGTGTGCTGCTGCAGCTATTGATGTAAGTATGTACTGCTGCACATCTTGATATAAGTGTGTGCTGCTGCTGCAGCTATTGATTTAAGTGTGTGCTGCTGCAGCTAATGATGTTAGTGGGTGTGCTGCTGCAGCTCTTGATATAAGTGTGTGTGCTGCTGCAGCTATTGATGTAAGTATGTACTGCTACAAGTCTTGATATAAGTGTGAGTGCTCCTGTTATTGATGTAAGTGTATGTGCTACTGCAGCTCTTCATATAAGTGTGTGTGCTGCTGCAGCTATTGATGTAAGTATGGGTGCTGCTGCAACTCCTGATATAAGTGTGTGTGTGCTGCTGCAGGTATTGACGTAAGTGTGTGTGGTGCTGCAGCTATTGATGTAAGTGTGTGTGCTGCTGCAGCTCTTGATATAAGTGTGTGTGCTGCTGCAGCTATTGATATAAGTGTGTGTGCTGCTGCAGCTATTGATATAAGTGTGTGTGCTGCTATAGCTTTTGATGTAAGTGTGTGCTGCTGAAGCTATTGATGTAAGTGTGTACTACTGCAGCTATTGATGTAAGTGTGTACTCCTGCAGCTATTTGTAGTGATGGTTTGTCAGACCACAGCTTACATCGCGAGGAAAGCCAGACTTGACCCGACATTAGGGAGGTCAAAAGTATAGGGTATCTCTTGCGGCTGACCAGGGTTACAAATCAACTAGCTCCCCTCCCATGTGACATGTCACCACAACAGACATGTAAGAAGGCACCAGCCGACTCTCTTCCAATATACAATAACCTACTCTCTGAACAAAGGCCGGACCTGACCTCACATTAGCCAGGTCAAATGTAACCCTCGGAGCCCAACTCAAGGGGCCACAAATCAACCAGGGCCTCTCATGTCACACGGCCCCACCTGATGACTTCTCCAGAAAGTACGTCTTACATCTCAGAAACTCCAGTCTGACCCGACATTAGGGAGGTCAAGTGTAGGGGAACTCTCACGGTTGCTCTCCCAATATACACGGCCCCACCTGATGACTTTCCCAGATAGTTTCTGAAAAGTCCAGACCTGACCTCACATTGGCCAGGTCAAATGTAAGGAGACCCTTCGCCGCCCCCCCCCCACCCCGACCAGCTGAACCTGACGGCTCGCATCCCAATATATAGGACGTCCTAGTCCTCCCTCAGGGAATTTGGCAGAGTCAGAGAGAGAGACACACAGGGATCGGAGGAGGAGGTCCACCACAGCCGAGTCCCGCTCACGGGAGGAGAGTCTTGCAGGACTTCCCTCCCCGACTTCCCTCCGGTGTCCCAGCTAAGCAGTCGCCCTCCCGACACCAGTGTCCCAGCTAAGCAGTCGCCCTCCCGACACCAGGGTCCCAGCTAAGCAGTCGCCCTCCCGACACCAGTGTTCCAGCTAAGCAGTCTCCCTGCTAGGCCTCCCCTAGGTCACGTGAGTGTTTGTCAGAGCTTTCCACGGGATGAGTTACTTATGTGGGAAGTGTATTCATTTCATGTTCGTGCCCGAGAATCAGTGTCTAGTAACGTAATAATGTCCTAGTAACTTTCAATAGAAGGTGTTATTAATGTGTCCATGTCATGTTCGTAATTAATAAAGAGTTGTAACGAAGCAGTGTTTGACAAGTTGCCTTTAAGAACGTAATAAATGTGTATTGACGTATAAGATACGATAAGTGTACGATAAGTGTAAATAACTATCACGGCCACGCTACCAAAATCTTCCTCTCTTTATACTCTTATACTATCAATATTCTACCTATATGTAATCTTCTTCTTGTGAGTTTTGTCTCATTACATATTGATGTAAGTGTGTACTGCTGTAGATCTTGATATAAAGGTGTTTGGTGCTAGAGCTATTGATGTAAGTGTGTACTCGTGCAGATCTTGATATAAGTGTGTGTGCTGCTCCAGCTATTGATGTAAGTGTGTATTGCTGCAGCTCTTGATATAAGTGTGTGTGCTGCTGCAGCTATGGTTGTAAGTGTGTACTGCTGCAGCTCTTGATATAAGCGTGTGTGCT